CATCGACTACCTCTCCGGCATCGGCATGACCGCCCTAACGGCCTACTTTGGCATGCTCCGCGTCGGGGACCCCAAGCCCGGCGAAACCGTCGTCGTCTCGGGCGCCGCGGGTGCCACCGGCAGCGTCGCCGGCCAGATCGCCAAGCTTAAGGGCGCGCGCGTCGTCGGTCTCGCCGGCTCGGACGATAAGTGCAAGTGGTTGACGGAGGAGCTCGGCTTCGACGTCGCGCTCAACTACAAGGACCCCGAGTTCAAGCAAAAGTTCAAGGAGGCCACGCCCGATTTCATCAACGTCTACTTTGACAACGTCGGTGGCGAGATTCTCGATATGGCGCTGGCGCGTGCCAAGGAGTTCTCGCGCTTCGTCATGTGCGGCGGTATCAGCCAGTACAACTCTGCGACGCCGCAGGGCCCCAAGAACTACGCCAACATCATCACCATGCGCATCAAGATGCAGGGCTTCATCGTCTTTGACTTTGTCCAGGAGTACGGTCAGGCGCGCAAGGAGCTTGCGCAGTGGCTCGAGGAGGGCAAGATCAAGCGCAAGGAGACGGTCGTCAAGGGCGGCCTCAAGGCGGCGGAGCAGGGTCTCGTCGACCTTTACAAGGGCATCAACACGGGCAAGCTGATTGTCGAGATCAAGAACCCCAAGGATGCGGCCAAGTTGTAAAGGAATCCCGAGCCAAGGTCTCTGAGGAATGATTTGATGACACTGTAATTTTATGCATAATGACCAGATACTGGCACATATAGGAAGGCATGCCAAACAAATTGGAAAACATTACAAACATCTTCTGTCTGTACTGGTGCTTGGGGTGACCTGTCTGCTCTCAGTGAAGGCCCTCCAAAGGTTGAGGCTTTTGTTTCGCTAGACACGGAGGAAGGATACTGAATAGGGGACATGATGAATACTTACTTTTTGATCACCCCTATCATCTTGTTGGCGATGTCGTTGGTGTTGGTGAAGCATCGAATTATGGTCTGGGATCGTTGTGCTGAGGGCCATGCTACTACACGATATGCAAGTATAGGCAGTGTATGAATGTAAGCAATGCAACCCACCAAGGTACCCACTTGTGCCACCATCACCAACCGATGATCGCCAACCTGCCCCAAGCTCCTCCTTTCTGCCAGGGCCATCCCATCTTCAATCATCGACTTTCTCGTTGTTGCCCCGGACACAGCTCCAAACACACGCAGACAGATCATCGCAGACATTCATAGCATATGTTTGAAAATCCAAACGTTTGCATGCCACGCTGCGTCGACATGGCACATTGCAATTTCTTTCTCTGAACTGCAGGGAACCACCTCTTTTTTAGGATTTACCGGCGCGGCTCGCTCGGAGGCTTACGGAGAGGACCCCAGCACCACGGCGTCGCAGGTAAATTTCCTTTCAGGAGGCTGCGCATTCCTAACGCGGCGAGAAGCGAACCCTCTTCGTACGATTTCCTCGACGAACAGAAACGCCGATTACGACTAGAGTTTCAGGCTTTGAAAAGCTGTACTTCTCACGCTTCCTGCAACGTACTGACCGTGCCGACCACCCCCCGCCAGGCCTGCGTGCCTCGAAGCGAGACATTCTACTCCAGATCCACTCGAATTTCTTCCCCTCTGGAATGCGCCCAGCCTCGAGTAAATGATGGTGATATCTCCCACGCACCAGAGGACGGCTGTTTAACAAGGACGAGACGATTGGAAACACAAGAAAAAACAAAAACGCTCTTTTGGAAACCGAGAACTTGAAAACAACAAAGAAAGACGAACACGAGTTCATGATACCCTGCAACACATCCTCGACGTACCCCTAGTCGGAACTTGCGGAGCCCACGACCCAACCCGACGTACATATTCTTCAACTCGAGATCCTGACCGTCCAATTTCTACCATGGCTTTGTCTTCAGAAGAGGCCGCCCACCTCAACAGGCAAGCAAAACGACGAGCCGAACGAGCCGCAGCCGAGATGAACTTCCGCGAAGTGACATCGGAGGAGTACTTGAAGAAATTACGGGCCAAACGGCGCCCAGGGAGACGATTCGAGATCGATAATACACCTGCGGCGGTCGAAATCGGCGAGGAGCCGCTACCTCCGCAACGGGAGTTCAAACTTTCGACAAGCTCCGACCGGCAACGGACACACGCCCGCACAAAGTCGACGCCGACAGCGAACACGAATGGCCTATCAACATCAGGCAGCCGTAGAACTACGCTTGGGGGTCCAATAGCTAGGAACACTCTCGGAAAGGCTTCTGTTCCTTCTCAGAGGCTAGCTGCTCAGCAGACGAAAAGCCAGCCCAACCTTTTCTTGCAAGCTGCGCAACAGCGGACGAACCCCGCGATCACTCATGCCAACTTGGGCACGACTACGACAGTCTCGTCATTGTCATCTCAGCCTCAAAGATCCAAATCAAGTCTGAGCATGTTCTACCCCAAAAAGCATGTTCGTCGCGCAGCGTCCGTGTCTGTCCTGTCGTCAAAACCCCTAGAGTTGGACCCGATAGCCACGGCTCACCAATCCGGCCACGCTCGAAGCCAGTCGCTTGGCAACGCCCTCTCTGTGGTTGAAACAGCACCGCAGCCTGTCGCGCTCAAGAAGCGAGGCTCGTTGCGCATGCTGAAAGACAAGATTAGGAGAGTAGCCAGCTCTTTTGAACTTCGATCGGCTAGAAGTGATGGTTCAGGGAGTAGCGATGACGACGGCTTGAAGAGCCGGTCCAGCAAGAGCCTCTTACTGCGGACGAGGAACAGATTTGGCTCACAGCATCGCCTTGGGACTGTGAGCGAAGAATGAGCAACGATGAAGATCTAAGGTGGTCTCACTCGCCAGAGACCTAGTCATGCGTGGCCGAGGATCTATGCGCAGACACCATGGGAGAACGTCTACGCTGTGTACGATTGACGCGGACGAGATACGACAGCTCTGAATAATGGCGTAATGTAATTCCTACAATAACCTCACATTTGTTTATACCTACCTAGGCAAAGATACCCGGTTCATATTTTCTTCCAATTCCGCCGTGTCTATCTGGAAGTCGCGATGCAGCGTCAACTCCTGGCACTTGACTGGAACTGAGGGCAGAAAGGATAGTCGATGTATCCAGTTGGCAGCTTTGGGGTGTAGAAGTACGTCCGCTCGTACTTGTCCAGCTCGATACCCTCCTTGATGCGGAAGACAAGGTCGGGATTCGAGATGAAGTAGCGCCCGAAAACGACAGCAACATCGTACTTCTTGTACGTTTCGTCCACAGCTGCCTTTGCAGAATTGGCATTCAACCCGCCAGCAAGCAAAACTGGGCTCGCGTTGTCCCAGAGCTCTATCAACCAGCGCACCGTCCGCTGTCCACCGCAATCGGTATCGTCATTACCGCTAATCCGGGCTTCGATCAGATGGAGATACGCGAGCCCCAGAGGCTTCAGCCGCTTTACCAAGTACTCAAACGTCGGGTCCGGGTCATCCATGAGCATGCCCTGGAAATCACTGTACGGGCTGAGACGAACGGCCGTCCTATCTGCGCCGACGGCATTGACGACAGCCTTTGTCACTTCGAGATGGAACCGGGTACGCTTCTCGATGCTGCCGCCCCAGCCGTCGGTCCGCTTGTTGCAAGTATCCTGGAGGAACTGGTCTGGTAGATACCCGTTAGCGCCATGGATCTCCACGCCATCGAAGCCGGCCTCGAGAGCGTTGCGCGCGGCTGTCGCGTAGTCCTCGATGACTTGCTGTATGTCGCTTTCGCTCATTTCTACGGGGGTTGCAGCGCCCTCGGCAACAGGCATCGCGCTGGAAGACTCGAGATGTAATCCGAGGGATTCGAGGACTTCGGCTCTGCCACCGCGACCGAGGTGCCAAAGTTGGCAGTAGATGAATGAGCCCTTGGCATGCACGGCATCCGTGACCCTTTTCCAGCCTGCAATGTGCGCTTGGTTCCAGATGCCAGGGACGTTATGACGCCCGGCGGTGCGATACGAGATGAGGGTTCCCTCAGAGATGAGCAGAGTCCCTGGAACGCAGCCTCTCTGGGCATAGTACTCTGTCATCAAGCGTCAGATAACGAATGAGGTGGATAATGAAGGGAATGTATGCTGACCCTCCATCATTGGAGTTGGTGTCCATTCATCGTCTGCGCGGTACCTTGTTAATGGCGCCAGGGCTAGTCGGTTAGAGAGCTGGTTAGGCCCTATAGCCAACGGGGTGAATAGCTTTGACATCACTAGCTGATGTAGATGAAATCCGAGTCGATACAATCAAAGTCTGAAGCTACCATGACAGGTCAAAATAAGCTAGATGCGATGGCAGAGTCTAAAATCAAAGACGCCGCAGTATCCCGTCATCGACAGCTTCGCTAGCGCAATTAATCCCAGTTCATTCTCACTGCTACCCGGTGCCGATGAAAGCCGCATCGGCTTCCGCGCCTTGCTGGTCCGTTTCAATCAGCGATCTAACACTCGATGCCATCAGAGTTGAATCTTTGTCAATGACGGCACAGAGAGATTGTCTGTACAAACAATAGCCTCAAGATGGCCCAATAAACCCAGCGCAAACCCGGGAGAACATCCGGGATCTGAGAAGACTGGAATGCCTTTCAGAAACAAAACACAGCCGACATTGCGGATGCGTATCGGCACAAAACGTGCCGACAAAGAAAGTTGGACATGCGATCGGCGACGACAGCCACCCAATCCTCGCGCTGTCCCCATGCCGACATATCCAGGGTGGACCGCCCACGTTTGAGCCAGAATGGGAGACTCGTTGAGGATTCTGGTGAACGGCTCAATTGCGATTGACGCAATGGACTCCCGATACTCAAGCAAGCCATTCTTACTGTCGGGTGCCTCCGATGTTAACCCTGGATCCGCCCAGGTAATTGACAACCGGCGATTCGGCACCGAAGTTTGGGAGATCCATCCAGAGTTGCGACTTCGTCAACACTTCTTGGGCTGTTTCTCGAGCCAAGCCCTTTCACTTGAGACTTTGTTATCAGAAGGGTCGGTTTGTCAAGATGAAGGAAGATGCACCCATCACCGAAATCAAGCAAATCTCACATACGCAACCATCACAACAAATACTACGCTCAGCTTCACCATCCAGCGACGATGATGGCACCAACACCCCATCCCCAACCAAGAACAACCCCCAGCCGCCCAAAGACGACACCGACGCAGAAAGCATAGGCGGCCAACGCAATACAATGTCCCGCAAACGCATGCTCCTCGCCTTCTCCGCCCTCTCCGTCTGCCTCTTCGTCTCCTTCATCGACCAGACCAGCGTCTCGACCGCTGTGCCCGCCATCGCAGAGGACCTCGACACGGGAACAGCCACCTCGTGGATCGGAACGTCGTTTCTGATTGCTTCGACGGCTTTTCAGCTCATCAACGGGCGGCTGTCGGATATCTTTGGCCGTAAGAATCTGTTGATGATCTGTTTGGTGTTGATGGCTGTTGGGGATGTGCTATGTGGGTTTTCGAGGACGAAGGAGCAGCTTTTTGCGTTTCGGGCGGTGGCTGGGATTGGAGGGGGTGGAATTAATAGTATTGTTATGATTATTGTGAGTGATATCACGACGTTGGAGAATAGGGGGAAATATCAGGGTAAGTTTCAGAATCTTGATCTAATATCGTTTTCAGGAATTCTGACGGAACTAACATTCAATTCAGGCGTTCTCGGTGCCGTTCTAGCCCTCGCAAACGGCGTCGGTCCCTTTGTCGGCGGCGCAGTCGTCCAAGAATCGACCTGGCGATGGGTCTTCTGGATGGTCCCCATCATCAGCGCCCCAGCCGCCGTCACGATCCTCTTCTGCCTCCCATTGAAGCACCGACCCGGAAACTACAGTGAAAAGGTCAAGAAAATCGACTACGGCGGTATCGCCCTCAACATGGCCTCGACGCTGCTCCTCCTCATCCCGCTGTCCGGAGGCGGCGTAACGTACCCTTGGTCCTCGCCGTTTGTCATTGCCGGCGTCGTCGTAGGCGCCGTACTGGCGGCTCTGTTTGTGCTCTACGAGTGGAAACTGGCGAAGCTGCCCATCATGCCTTTGCGCCTGTACCAGGCGCCGCACTGCAGTGCGTTGTTTGGGCAGACGTTTCTTATGGGCCAAGCGTACTTTGGTAACCTGTTTTACCTGCCGATTTACTTCCAGTCTATACTGAACTACGAACCCCTTGTCTCAGGAGCGCTTATTCTTCCCGTCATCATCACAACTTCGGGGCTGTCTATTCTGTCGGGGCAGTATATGCTGCGAGTGGGACGGTATATGCCCTGTATCCTTGCAGGGTTCTTCCTCTGGACCCTTGGGAACGGTCTCACCATCCTCTTTGACCGAGATACGGGGCTAGAGAAACTGATCCCAATCCTCGTAGTCGTCGGCGCGGGGATAGGCCTTACGCTGCAGCCTACGCTGGTGGGCATGTACGCCAACTCGCGCGCCGAAGACCGCGCCGTCACGACGGGGTTGCGGAATTTCATCCGGACCATCGGCGGCGCGTTCGGGCTTGTGGTGTCCGGGGTGATTCTCTCCAACACGCTGCGGCGGGATCTTCACGGGAAAGACTTTGTTTCCGATGCGGTGATTGCGGAGCTTACTTCGTCGACGTATACCTTGGACCAAAAAGGGTTTTCAGACGCGGAGAAGGCGGTGATTTTGGAGGCGTATATGAAGGGATTGCATTACATTTTCGTGTATTATGTTATTTGCTCTGGGTTAAGTCTGGTGTTGACGCTTGGAGTTGGCAATACGGGGTTGAAGGCGAAGAAAGCGGCGCCGACTGAAGAGGCTTCGGAGGGTCCGAAGGCGGTATCGGAGGATGCTCCGATGAGTGATCAGGAGAAGGCGAGTGAGAAGGCGAGTGAGAACTAGGGGCACGGTTGAGTTAACAAAGATACACTCGCATATAGCATTAGGCATTCAAAAGAACATGGCAATGGGTAAGCATCATAGCACTAGTGGCATTCGATGAATTTGGTTCATGATCAATGTCATACAGAATCGCGTTCAATAGACTCTTCACCTTACGACAAGCGCAAGGTTTCTCATAGAGTTCCTTAAAGCGCGGATATCCGATTGACTTCCCGAACACCTCGTCGCGGAGCAGCGGAAATCAGCCCGACTCCCATCCCGAAACTTAATGCTGAGCTTTCTGGCCAAGCTATTCCCGGTCAAGACTCCGGTCAGAGATAGGCCTGGGCATTACATCAACATGCATCTCCTCGTGCCCTTCGATCAATCTTGTTATCAACAGCATCCCCACAGCCAACGATACCCTTGTCGAGAACCCCGCGCCTTATCACCACCCCTGGGTTGACGAAAATCTCCGAAGTACTCCAACGGTTCGATGTCATCCGATGGAGGGCTACCATCCCTGTTGAATGTAGCGCCTCCAATAGCTTGCATCCTTGCCCCCTCCAGACCCCGAGATGTGTGTGTGTGTGCGTGTGTGAGTGTGTGTGCGAGACGGCGATGTGATAACGCGCTGCAGGCTGCAACGAGATGGAAAATCAAGACATCAACCAGCTCTGATAGGGAGGGATTATCTGCATAATATCACTGTTTATAGCTGCTGATAGCCGTGATTATGCGCGACGAAGAGCGGGTAGCGTAGCCCGATGGACGACTGGCCGGTTGATTCTGGCCGATTGCAGTCTTGGTATTGCTATTTGTACTTTTGATCGAGGTCGTTCACTCGAAATGGGACATAGTGACATTCAATATCTCCAACGTTCCCTCTGCCATTGATATCGTCTCGGAGCGCCACTGAAACTCAAAATTCTACTCGTCTTACCTGACTTAACAAGCAATCCTTCGTCATGCCAGAAGCATACCACGCCCACCCAGACTACGGCTACCCGCGCGACTTCAAGGGTTACGGCGAGAAAGGGCTCGCTTGTCCATGGCCCAACGATGCTAAGATTGCAGTCTCCTTCGTCATCAACTATGAAGAGGTTTGTTTAGCCCCCGAATCCTCGGCAATCTTAGAAGAAGAGACATAAAGAATTACGGCGGCTGACAAACTCCTGCGACAGGGCGGCGAACGCTCAGTCCTAGCAGGCGATGGCGTCTCGGAAACCAACCTCCGCGAGAACCCCATGGGCCCCGCAAAGTACAACGAGCGCAACTACAGCGTCGAGTCAGAATACGAATACGGTTCCCGCGCAGGCTTCTGGCGCCTCTTTCGCCTCTTCAACTCCCGCAAGATGAAGTTCACCCTCTACGCCGTAGCCCAGGCCGTCGAAGAGCAGCCCGAGGTTGCGACGCGGTGCGTGGAGGAGGGTCACGACGTTGCCTCGCACGCCTACCGTTGGATCGACTACCACGATGTGCCGATCGAGGCGGAGAAGGAGTATATCCGCAAGTGCATCACCTCTCTCAAGAGTTTGACGGGATATGCGCCCAAGGGATGGTACTACGGTCGCAACTCACCGCACTCACGGACGCTTGTGCCGCAGGTGTATGAGGAGATGGGGGAGGATCTTGTGTGGGCGAGTGATACGTACGCTGACGATGTGCCGTACTGGATTGATCTTCCCACGGAGCGGGACAAGACTGATCCAAAGGGGTGTCTGATGGTGCCGTACAGCTATGACTGTAACGATTTCAAGTTCCACGTCACGGGGTCTGGGTTCCGCGATCCGCAAGGGTTCTACACGCATTTGAAGAATGCGTTTGATGTATTGTATGAGGAGGGCCAGGAGGGGATGCCCAAGATGATGACCATTGGGTTGCATTGTCGTATTGTTGGTCGGCCGGGGAGACTGGCTGCGTTAAGGGACTTTGTGGATTATATTGCAAAGAAGGAGGGCGTGTGGGTTGCTACGAGGACCGAAATTGCAGAGGCGTTTAAGACAAAGTATCCGTATAAGAAAGGGCAGTTGGCATAAGAAGGTGGTAGGTAGCTGGTGTAAATGGGATATGTATTTTGACGTAACATAAAGCTTTCACTGTGATACCCCTCGCTGCCTTCACGCATGTCCTCCTGGGTCGCTCCATCACCTTCCTCGCCCACGACCAGCTTCCCGACAGCTCGAAATGAACCAAATATTAATGTTTAGGGGCGAGGATAGGCTGAGTCTATGGATAGGCAACCCCAAAAGTTGTGACAAGGGCGAAAAGAGCAAAAGGTTGATCAGTGGGAGGCTTGAACTCCCGACCTTGGCATTACTCAACATTTCTTATGCAATATTAGTACCACGCTCTAACCAACTGAGCTAACCGACCCGCTGGTGATGACTAATCAGCCGATGGGAAATCAGAGGCTATTCGCAAGCTGTGGATCAGGCGGCTGGGGCGATCGGTCATGAAAATTGCCCCGACAAGAGACGAATCTGCGTAGTGTCTACTTCCGGTCGCAGTTTTGCAATAAATAGAAGAACCAAATTATAGATGAGAGAAATCAATTCTGCAGCCTCTATCATCCACGCGGAATCTGTGCAGAGGGACGTCGACGATGGCAAAAAGTCGACACGCTTCCCGAGCCTTGGTTACCTTATGGGAAATTGGTCTTTCTAAAGTGAGGCCGAGTGACGTCGAACGTCATGTTTTCCTTAGATCCTTACTTTCTACCCGACCCTCCGTGCTTCTTCTCTTGCAAGATGTATCCCGATCCGATTAAGCTACTAAATAGGTACGGCGGAGTAGAGCAGTCTATGTGATCTAAGCTTCGTGAACTCGGGTGAAGACACGACGAGGCTGGACGAGTCTCAAAATATCAACTGTGAGTGTTACAGATCCTGAGAGTCGAATCAAAAAAGTAGATTGCAACTCTACGAAAATGTACAGCAAATCGAAGACGGCAAACGCTTGTGTTAAGGAGATTACGTACGGAAGCATGTATCAGCGTGACCTATCTATGAAGCTCCCGCAATGAGATTTCAGAACCAAGATGGAATATTCAGCTCACCATTCCTGACTCGCCAAGGTCCAAGTCAAATTCCATCACGCCTAAATATACCTCTTGCTCAAGGTCGTCCGTGAAGTCCGCCTCAATTCCAAGAACATTTCTTTTGCCGCATGGTATGTCTTCTCCATCACTGTTCTTCGGTTTATGGACGGGTTTGAGGTCAGGCTGCACCATCTCGTTGAACATCCTCCAACCCTGCCAACCGCCCGGCGCTTCCTCATCCACCTCCATAAATGCCTCTTTCACGGCATCGGAGATTGCGTGGCCCACAGAAGGATTTTCTCCAACAGCTACGTGTGCTTCTTGCGAAGTTTCTGAGGGCGATATCGTCAAATGGCCTGCTGAGTTCGCTCTCAAATTCACATCCAAAGGCTGTGATCCCTCGCCAGGGCCTGCTAGCGGGCTGACAATTGTCTTAAACAGACTCCCTGACAGGGCATCAAAGATGTCACGGTACTTCACCGCGCCGTGAAACTTCTCACCAAAGATTGTAAGGCACTGAGAACACGCCCTCGTGGCTTCGAGTGTGTCGTACGAGAAGAGAGAATGGTCCCGCCATATGCAGTATACAAGCGTCAAGCCAGCAATGAAACATGAGTGTAATGCCGTCATGGTGTAGCTTAGCGTCTTCTGCTGGTTTAGCCGCTTGTATGCCGTGCAAACGCAGGCGGCGGATCGAGCGGTGTTGAGGAACCTCGAGTCGGAGGTGTTCAGTACTGAAAGGAGAACAGTGTAGAGCGATAGGACTGACTTGTGGTACTGCCTAAGCTCCCGATTAGCATCCGATATTATGGCCCAGACAACAATTGCATGAACACTCACAGGGTGAAGAAATCTCTTGAGTCATGATAGGCGCTTTCTGGGTCGTACATCCAGCTTATTGCTCTGGCGTCTTTTGGCGGATGGGGGACTGTCCTCATCCACTCATCGAGTTCGGCTTTATTCTCTCCCATCTTGAATTCGAGTCTTGCCCGTTCTCCTGAAGGCCCCGAAAAGATGTCTTTATCAACACGGTACACTCGGCGATGAATCCTGGACTGTATTCTCCGGAGCTTGATTATGTGGATGAAAGGCTTCGTGTTTGACCAAGGCAGTCCGGATGTACTTGACGGGTCCTTCAGTGCTGTCAAGTCCCAAAACTCCAAGCTGTCGCTAGGAAGCTGCATGGCTGTCAGTGATAACCTGTTCCTACATCGGTCTAAACCATGTTTTACCTCGGTGTTAATGTCTCTGTCGGCGATGGCGAATGTGCGTCCAAGCACCACACTCGTCATACGGTCTAAACAGTAACATGACCAGAAGACGCGCCTTCTGATCTCGAGATCGCGTGAATTGTGAGTCGAGTTGTTAGACTGCTTTCGATGGAGACCTAGCTCTATGCATAGCGTGACGGCGTACCGCACCTGAGACCATGCGCCGGCACCGTAGGGGCTTCTAGTCCCATGAACGGCGAGGAGGAGGAGAAATTGTACTGTTGCTAAATTATGCTGTTCCAGGATGTTGTCCATCGGCTCAATGGCCGCCGCGAGATGTTTCTGACAGCGACCGTGTTAGATTTGTAACGGCAAGCTTTGCTTGTAGGAGACCCTCACCTGGGGATCAATTCCACACGGCTTCTTCATCAACTGTAGGAACCTTGCGGATATGGCGTATATCAGGTGTATAATGCTTCGGTGCTGAATAGACAGGGTTCCATGGTCGTATTGCTTCTGAAATAGCTTTGTGTAAAGTTTGCGATCCAGAATAGGCCATCGCGTATGAAGCCGATCAAAGAAGGCGTCAAACAGCACCTCCGCCTGCTCAGGGCACGGAAACTCGGACTGGGATTCCTCCGGGCTAGAGGACACCGATACTTTGCGTTGCAATTGCATCGAAGTCGATGAAATAGATTGAGTAGTTCTTATAGTATTAAACGCAGCTTGACCGCCTGAGCTGTGAAAGATGGAAGACTGAATCATGCGCG